AGGAGTTTTGAGGATGTTTTGGAAGTTGTTCTTTGAAATGTAGTTGAACTTCCCGGTGTTTTTGGAGAATATCATTCAAGGACAAAAGATGTGATTTGCTGTCAGGAATAGTTACAGCATCTTGGCAGTAAATAAAGAGGAGCATTCATTAAAGTTTTCACCAGAATTCTATTTCTTTAACAGTAAATGGATTAACAGTACAGATAAATGGATTAACAAAATGTTTTAATTGCCTGGTATGATACATGCCTATTATGCTTCTCTTGTCAAATTAAAAGGTTGGATGTACTGTAGAGTTTCTGAAAATTAAAGTTGCTGGACGTTCAACTACAGTGTTTGCCAAGTGGCAGTAAACAACTATGAACCTGTTCTGAGATCCAGGCATATTCTAAACAATTTTTATTTGCTGCAGTCACTTTCATTATGTTAATTTTTTATTTCAGTTTATTTATGGGCATTCCACATAATCCATGTTTGTAGATTGATATTGTTTAGATTTTAAAATATTTAAGAGTGTTGCAGTTTTATTCTGTTCTAGTTAAGTAATGTTTGCTTAACAATATGATGTGCTTAATGTGTTATTTGCTATATTTATTGATCAGACACTTAAACAATCCATAATTTTCTTTCTTCAGAAAAAGAAGGTGTCTTTCTACAAACGGGCGCAAATACTTGTGGCTGACACATGGAGTGTTTTAGAAGGCAAAGGAGATGGCTCTTTTGATGATATTTCCAGTCTGACGATATTTGCTGACTACAGAATTCCACAAGTTCTTGTTCACTTAAAAGCAATGAAGTATTCTGAAAAATTAATGAAGAAACTACGTGAAGGTTTGTTCTGTCCTTGCTAATATCAAGTAATCTTACTGCCCGATATTGCAGACTAAGGCTAGTTCTAAAATGTAATAGGTTATCCATGTAATGGTTATGTGTCAGGTTTTTTCCTCCATGGATATCTTAGGTACTGATGAGGTAACAGGAAGGAACTTCTTCTCTAACTATGATCTTGAGTGAGATCTCAAGGTTACTTTTTTATAAAGACCTAACTGTTTTGTGTATTAAACATTGATAAGGGAGGGATTAAAGAGACTCAAAGATAATTTGAGTTTCTGAGTGAGTTTCTGAAAAGCTGCTGTTGCAAAACCACTTTTCAGAATAAGAATTGTTACAATTTTTGAAGTTTACATAAAAGAAACAATGATTTTGTCATTAATTCAAATTTGTAAAAGCATGGGAATTCCTCTGAACTGCTAGTTAATAAGCCAAGTAATATTATAAGCATCCATTAAAAAATATTGCTTTAAATGAAGTTAATTGCACATTATTAGGATCTCATTTTTTAAGTATGGTCTCATCTTCCCAATACTTACCAACCCTGAATTTTAGTGAATAAAAATAAGCCAATCTCTTTTTCACTGTAAAATGATTGTTTTTAAATGTAGAACTGCTATTATGCAATTTCAGAAATACTTAGGAATATAAACAGATTAGTGCAGTCACCCATGAACTTTAAAAGAATGGCTGTACATGTATTTATGTCTTTATGTAATCTATATAACTAAATAGACCTCATAGACATTTTGTCCTTCCATGAATCCTAATGAGAACATTGCCATTTAAATAATTCCACTGTTTCTCTCTACATGCTATTCTTTTGGGGGGGTTGTTTGTTTTTAATTTTAAAATCTTAGACTTCAGTCATCCTGGTAGAAAATATACTATGAAGTATAATAATTATATACTAAAAAGTATACTGTAATAAAAGACTATCTTTTTTGTCTCTGAAAGCAAAGAAATGATCATATGATTTGCAGTACACCCTGCTCCTAAAGCAGTTCCTTAGAATACAGGATGTCGCTTGAACTGAATGCGAGGGAAGCTTCTAAGTGCAGTATGGTAAAATTAAAGTAACAGTTAGAAAATGTATAGCAACATTGTTAACAGTTGCTGGCTATGTCATGAGAACTAGAATCCTAGAACAGAATAAATGTGAAGGGGAAAAAAATCACAAATTTAGTCAGTCCTTGGCCTTCTGTCTGTTCCATGTAAATGGATTGCTGTTTCTTGTGTCTGCAGGAACACTTTTCCAATCTGGAGACAAAGAAGAGGTAGAGATCCGTGGCTGTTCTATTTGGTGTTGTGCATTGATTTGTAAGCACCTTCAGGAGCTCTATCAGAAGAAGGGTCAGGACATGCATGAAAAGATCAATGCCGTTTTACTCGATTATTATCTTTGGGATTATGCCAGGGATCACAGGGCAGAGATGAAAGATATCCCATTCCACCGAGTACGGTGTATATATTACTAAGTGCAATCTGGTAGCTCTTGTATTGCTGCCTTATCTTTTGAACTGCGGTTTTGCTTTTCATATGGTGATTTGTTATGCAGTAATTTGGAACAGTTAAATCAAATGCTTGCTTTCTAGTGATGTAGTAACAACGTGCCTTTTGTTCCCGCATTGTTTTATTACCTTTTTATTACCTTTCTTTTAATTTTTTTCTTGCCCTGACTGGAATTAACAGTGTAAACTTTGCAGGCAACCCATGTTAAGATGGGGTTTATTACTCCTGCTTTGACCTTTGTATTGGTGTACCTGTGCGCACAGCCAGATATGTGTGCAGATCCTGTGGTGTACCTTGCTCCTCAGCCCCTCCCTGTTCCTGCCTGTCCCCTCTCATACCTGCACAGAGGTGGCAGGTGCTTGGCAGATGCTTTACTGCTCAGAGATGGAAGTGTAACCTGTCCAATTGTCCAATAAACAGTGCAGTGACAGACGTGCCATGGGGGTGTATCTGTGTTTTTACTGCTAGGAGTGAGATGGGGGGTCTCAGTCCATGCAGGGAGGGAGGTAGGAAGGAAGGGGAGGAATCACAGAATCACTTAGGTTGGAAAAGATCTCTGGGATCCTCCGCGGCTCCCGACGCTCACGCGAGGTACGATCCCGGCTGCTCCTCAGGTTTGGAGGCGTTGCAAACACGGAAAGTCGGCTGGGCCGCACTCAGAGCATCCCTGCAAGCGCAAAGGCCGCCTGTATGTTTGCCTCTGCCTTACAGCAGCCGCGGGCGTCGACAGCCGAGTATCTCTCTAGCCTTGATGTACTGGGAATGTTTCATATTCCCACGTTTTTACAAAATAGATTCTTAGGAAATACGGTTTCCCTCCTACACCCGGGACATGGTTTGTTAATTTGTTTGTTTGTTTATGAATATAACTTTAAAAAGAGAGTAGGAAATGTTGGCATTTAAGAGCAGCACTTGCTAGGGGGCAATAAAAAAAAAATAATGCAACCAGTGGGATCATCAAGTCTGACCTGTGACCAAACACAACTTTGTCCATGGCACTGAGTGCTACGTCTTTCCTTAAACACCTCCAGGGACTCTGATTCCATCACCTGACTAGGCCGCCTGTTCCAATATTTAATCACCCTTTTTGTGAAGAAATTTTTCCTGATGTCCAACCTGAACCTTCCCTATCACAACCTGGAAGCTATTTCCTTTTGTACTGGCACCTGTTGCCTGTGAGGAGAGGCCGAACGCCATCTTGCTACCCCTTCCTTTCAGGCGGTTGTAGAGAGCAGTAAGGTCCCCCTCAGCGTCCTCCAGGCTAAACACCCCCAGCTCCCTCAGCCGATCCTAACAGTACTTTTGCTTCAGACCGTTCCTCTGCTCCGTTGCGCTTCTGTGGACACGCTCCAGCGCCTCACCGTCCTTCCCGGACGGAGCGGCCGAGACGCGGGAAGAAGGGCCGGGAGCCCGCCAGCCGCACCCCGCCCGCGCTCGTCCCGCCGCTGGGGGCGCTGTGCGCGCGGCGGGCCATGGCGGCCGTTGCCTAGCGAGGGGCCGCGAACAGCGCGGCCCTAAACTCAATTATCAATCAAAATGTGTTTGTAATCTGTAGTTAGTATGTTTATGTATCTGTTTCTGCTTGCCATGTCCCTAATGATACAAGTCATTCTCATGCTTTGCTTATTTGTTCTTGTGCTCAGTCAATAAAATGGGACTTTTCTTTTTTCAAAGTTCAGCGAAGTCCTCAAATTAAAAGGAGTAAAATGAAATGCAAAAGCTCTTCTCTTTGCTGCTGTGAGATAACACTGTTTTAAGCTATTAGTTTTCGACAAACTTGAATTTTGGGAGCTTAGCTTATTTCTGCCAGTTCAGTAATACAGCTTTCTTGAAGACAGCGTGTGTGAGGAAGTGAGCAAACTTTACCTTGCATGACAAAAAATCTCAGAGTTAGTAACAACAACAGAAAATATGTGTGTGGAATCCCATGCAGATTTTTGAATTCTAGTGAAAAACAGCTATAAAGAAAGGTAATTTCTTAGTATTTACAAGTGTGCTACTGTGCACTGCCTATGCTGTAAGAAGGAATATGCACTAGGCAGTATAAGGAACCATGTATGCTAAAATTATAATTACTAAAAAATAATTACATATGTGGCTAAAATTTCAGATCAAAATCAGAGGAATGCTCTACATGTAGTAAATAGATACTTTTAAAACCACACTTCTTTGTGCTTGTTGAGTTAGAAATGTTTGGTGCCTGATAAGTGGAAGAGGGTATTGAAACATCTATGTATATACAACTTCTGGAGAAAAAGGTTTTGTTTGACTGATTTGTGTTGCCTATGCAATATGAATGCAGGAACATGGAAATGAGAGGATCCATTGTAAGCCTTTACTTTATCAACAGTGTTTATTAAAACTCTTACAATATTGTTGCTTTGTTGACTGTGTTATATTACAATAGGAAATCAGTCAACTTTCAGACTTAAGTCTGCTAGCCTGGAAATTAATAGATGTGAAAATAATTTATTAATTGATTATATAGTTATTAATAGAGCTGCATTTATATCAGGTAGTTTTCAAGATTGTAATGGTGCTTACATGTTCCTTAGGAAATCTCAATTTTTCACTTCAGGAGATACATTCTTTTGTATTATATAACATGGAAAACTTTTTTTTCTTAGTTGCAGACAACTAAGAGAGGTGAACAGAGCTGTGGTAACAGATTTCTTCTTGACTGTGTGGATACTGAGAGTGAAGCACTAAGGTGGAATCTGGCATGGAGGAGATCCCAGTTAAAGTTGCAGTCCGAGTCAGACCTCTACTTTCCAAAGAAATACTTCATAACCACCAAGTGTGTGTCAGATTAGTCCCAAATGCTAAACAAGTTATCATTGGAAAGGACCATGTCTTCACTTTTGATTTTGTATTTGGCAAAAACTCAACCCAAGGAGAAGTTTATGCTGTTTGCATTAAGCCTCTTCTAGTGTCTCTGATTGAAGGATACAATGCTACAGTGTTTGCATATGGACAGACTGGTTCTGGGAAGACTTACACCATCGGTGGTGACCACATTGGTAGGTTATAGAAAGATTTTTGGTTTTTGGAGTTTTTTTAATCAGTAGAGGGTGCATTTTTCCAAGTTAAATATTTATTGCATAGCAGATAATGCTGCATAATTTTAAGGACCAAGGCAAAAACCTGTAGTAAAAAACCCAAAACTTCCAAAGTTTATGTGATAATTAAAGTTCTAAAAACGTCTCCATAAATTAGACTAGACCAAAAATATATAAGAAAAACCCAATTTGTTAAGTGTTCTTTCATATTCCACATTTTAACATGCAACTTATATTAGAACTTTTTTTTTCTGAAATATAGTGGTTTTGAAAAATTTTACTACATTTATCTTGCCTTGAAAATGTCTTCATTAGGCACTTAATTGTTTACTTGCTCATTCTGTGTTAGATTTGTTTGCTCTTTTGGGGCTTTTGAGAGAAGTTTCTGTGACATCACAGAAATTTATGATTTCATTTTTCCAAATGTATATAGAGTATTGTAAATATCTTGGTAGAATCTTCCTTTTATTTAGAATCATAGGATCACATAACTGTGTAGGTTGGAAAATACATCTAAGATCTTAAAGTCCATCCATTAACTCTGCATTTCCAGGTCAACAACTTTGCCCATTCTACTGGTTGACCACCAGTGAAGAAATTTTTCCTAATATCCAATCTAAACCTCCCCAGGTGCAACCTGAGGTCATTTCTTCTTGTCCTGTCACTTTTTACATGGGAGAGGAGACTGACCCCCCACACCCCAGTTACATCCTCCTGTCAGGTGGTAGTAGAGAGCAATACAGTCTATCCTGAGTTTGCTTTTCTCCAGCTTAAACAACCCCTGCTCCGCTGCTCCTCACAGGACTCGTGCTCCAGACCCTACCTCAGCTCTGTTGCCCTTCTCTGGACACACTCCAGCTCCTCAGTGTCCTTCCTAGAGTGACGGGCCTAGAACTGAGCTCAGCACTCGAGGTGTGACCTCAGCAGTGCCCAGCACAGGGGGAAAATCACTGCCCTGGTCCTGCTGCCCACACTATTGCTGGTATTGCTCAGGATGCCATTGGCCTTCTCAGCCACTTGGGCGCAGGCTAGCCCATGATCAGCTGCTGTCAACCAGCACCCACAGGTCCCTTCTGGCTGAGCATCTTTCCAGCCACTCTGGCCCCACCCAACCTGTAGTGCTTCAGGGGTTGTTGTGACGCAAGGGCAGGACCCTGCACTTGTCTTTGTTGAACCTCATATCATTGGCCTCTTCTGCTTATTGTTGTAACTTCACTTCTATTCCCTTCACTAGTAGTTATTCAATGTTCCTATAAGTACTATTGCTAGCTAAATTGTTTTGGTAGTGGATGTCACAGTCTAGGGCTGATCATAGCCTTGCAATTACAGCCTTTTAGTTTAATGAATATATTTACTAAATTAATAGTTAGATGTGAACAACCCATTAGTGTTTTGGTGAAAAAGATTCTTGGTATTGTCTCATAGGCAAACATCTTCCATAGTCTTGGATAAAGAGCACAGATTATTAATGGAAACAATGTCCTATGCTGAATATTTTTTAAAAAAGTAGAGTTTGGCATCAGCGTTCCATGTCTATGAAAAAATAGGAAATTATGGTTCATGTTGGTCATAAATCTTGTCTCGCTATGTTACTGATGATTTTGCTTTATATAAGTAGAATTCATAGTTTCTCAGATCACTGAGATGTCATTGCTAACCATATTGAGTAGGGATAAATAAGAAATCTGTACTCTGAGGAGTACATTTTTAAAGCAGAATCCATATTTTTCATAACTTTCATCACTATAAAATTATGTCATTTAGAACTTAAATTTGAATCCTAGTACTGGACACAAACAAAACTTCTGACACACACACAAAAAAATTTACAAAAATCCTTGTGAACAACAACCTCTTCAGATTCCTTAGTGTGTTGCATACTAAATATCACAGGCTTCTCTCAAATTTCAGTCTTTGTAATTTATGTGACAGAATGACTGCAGTTCTCTGTGACTTTTGTGCTTATATTTTAGCATCAGTTGCTGTGGATGAAAGGGGCATAATCCCACGGGCTATTCAGGAATTATTTAATCGTATTTCTGAACATCATAATATTAACTTCCGTGTGAAGGTATCCTATATAGAGGTTTACAAGGAAGAACTTCGAGATTTGTTGGATTTGGAGACCTCCGTGAAAGATCTGCATATTCGAGAAGATGAGAAGGGAAATACAGGTAGGATTCCAGCTCTCAAGTTTGGTGTTTTGGGTTTCAGTTTGTGTCCAAATTATTCTTGCTTTCTCTTGAAAGTGCTTATTCACTACTAATGAATAAAAGGAAAACAAAATTTAAAGTTTCAGATTATAAGCTCAGTTTAGCTCTTTGGAAGCAGTTGGGGTTTAGATGCCTGTGAGCAATATAGATGTTCTATTATGTGGATGGTAAAGTAAATAACACCATGGTAAAGTAAATAACACAAGTATTGTTTCTGAAAGTTCTGTCTAGAAACAAAATAGTTGTGATTATTCACTTGAATAAATATTTTAAGATTAAACCATATCTTCTTCCTTCAAAATTACAATTGTTAAGTCAATTATGTTGTAAATATATGCTCCCCTTTTACAATGAAATGAGTGGAAGAGATCACTTCATTGAGAGGAGGGGAAATAGATATTTTTAGAGGCTTTGAGATTAACACTTGCCCTGTAGGTATCCTGTTCACCCCATGAAAATGCTAGAAGAATCCACTTCAGAGGTATTTTATTCTGAAAGTATCTAGCCTGTTTTAGGTTTGGATTTTTTTTCTTTATATTCTAATTGTTGTGTTTACTCTAGTATTATTAAACTGCTATATTAAGCTGTCATGGATTTTTTGTCTATGGCTGGTAGAAAGCACTAGTTCAGCACAAACCTTGCAGACAATATCATTGCTTCAAAAGATCCCACAATATATTTTAAATTATTTCTTTTCTTCAGTGCAGTTAGAGTAGGCTTATTGTGCTAGGACATTTTCCATTTCTCATTAAAAGAAAAACATGATAAAAAAGATGATTAGTAAGAGTATTTGGTAGAAGTACACTTACACCTTATTAGATTACTAAAAGATACCTGTCCCAAAGGCCCAACTATCTGCACTATTCAGAATAGAAATTGTTTTCTTAGTACAGGCTTGAAATAATTTTTACTAAAAACTTTATAGTTCTTAGGCTTTTTTTTTAAACTGGCAGAATATCATTTGAGCTGATTTTGCTCATACTTTTTTTAGGTAGCACCACACTGTAAATTGTAAAGATAATGTGCAGTGTGCAATGTGTAAATGAGTTGTGTCTTGTGTCTGAGGTACTGTTTCAAATGTTATGGCGCAATAGACCCCGACATTAAATATCTGCAGGTTTCAGATGTGTTGTACCTCATGCTTTTCACATATTGTATCTTCTATTTCTATAGCCATATGGTATGACCTGCTATAGCCATAGCAGGCTTGTATGTGTCTCTAATACATTATTATAGTTATTGCTGTAAACTATTGCTGAAGAACTACCGTTGTAAACTATTGCTATTTAGAATTTATTAAATTATTCTTACTTTCATCTGGTTTGGTGTTTGAAGTGATTGTTGGTGCTAAGGAATTCCAAGTAGAATGTGCAGATGAAGTGATAAGCCTGCTGGAAAGTGGCAATGCAGCTCGTCACACAGGCACAACACAGATGAGTGAGCACTCTAGTCGATCTCATGCCATTTTTACCATCAGTATTCATCAGAAGCAGTCCGCAGAGTATCAGAATGCTGCACAGGATCCGATCACTTCAAAGTTTCATTTTGTGGATTTGGCAGGATCAGAAAGGGTAGCAAAGACTGGAAATACTGGTGAACGCTTCAAAGAATCAGTTCAGATCAATAGTGGTCTCTTGGCCTTGGGAAATGTCATCAGTGCCCTTGGAGACCCAAAAAGGAAAAGTGTGCATATTCCATACAGGGATGCTAAAATCACTCGTATTCTGAAAGATTCCCTTGGAGGAAATGCCAAGACTGTTATGATAACGTGTATAAGTCCATCCTCAATGGACTTTGATGAATCTTTAAATTCCCTCAAATATGCCAACAGAGCAAAAAACATTAGAAATAAACCAGTAGTAAATTACAACCCAGAAAAAGAGCGAATGGATGAAATGGAACTTGAAATCAGATTGCTTCGGGAAGCCTTGCAGAGCCAGCAGGACAATAATCAGCATTTACATGACTTAAATGAAGAAAAAGCCCGTATCAGTTCACTTGAGGAGCAGCTCACTCGCCTTCAGTTTCAATATTTCAGTTACAGAAATTGTGTAGATGAAGCCTTACCTTTTCTGGTTGATTTGAATGATGATGTTAGCTTAAGAAGAAGTCAGCGGGACAGGTTGCAGAGCTGGATCACTATGGTACAGAAAGTAAGGAAGGAAGCTGTCAACATCCAGGAGACTGACACAGGGACTGAGACCAGCCCAGTACCACATCACATTACAATTCTTCAGCTGAAGAGGGAACTAAAGAAATGCCAGGTATTTAATTATAAGGTGTTTATTTAAAAGACTAAGTAAAAAAGTAAAATCTGCCAAAATTTGAACTATATTTTGAAAGATGGATAAAATTGTCACCTGTACTTAATTTGACAATTAAATTTAATTCACAGCTTTGTAGAATTTAATTTGGGTAATCTCTGGGACATAGGTGTTTTGTAATGGATGTTTGAATACACAATCAGTGACAACAGAGATAAGTGAAGTAATGTTATATTTTTCTAGTCAGTTTCAAGATGATTCTTCAGGCTGAGCTGTTTTATCTGTTAGATATTTGATGTTAGCTATGCTAGTATGCTAGGTCTTATGGCTGAGATGGAGTTACTTTTCTGTATAGCATCTTTGAGGGTGCTGTGTTTTAGATTTGTGACCAATACAATGGTAATAAGGCAGTAATGTTTTTGCTCTTGCCAAATGGTGTTTTGTACAGTGACAGGCCTTCTGTTTTTCTGCCGGCGCCCCCCTCCACCCCCCCCGAGTAAATAGATTGGAGGATGCATGAATAGTTGGAGTCATAAACATGAAACAAAGCAGATGACCTGAACTAATCAGAGAGATTACATACCGTATAATGTGATGCTCAGCAATAAAAAGGGAGAGGAGGAGATTTAGGGAGACTTAGCTGTATTTTGTCCAAAATTGGCTGAGCATTAGTCAGGTGGTGGGTGATAGCTTTTTCATAATCTCTTTTATTTTCTTTCTCTCTTTCACTTCATCATCACTTACTGATCAGTTTCTATCTTGTCTCACAAATTTTCTTTCTTCCACTTTCCTTTTGCTCTTCCTCTGTCCTCCTGGGAGATGGGGGTAGGGGGAAGTGCAAAGATATCTCTATGTGCTTAGCTACCTACTGGAGTAACGCACAACAGTCTATTTTGGAGCCCAACTTGTGGCTCAAGGCTTTCAAGATAATAACAGATTTGATTATAGTGTGCTAGAATAAACTTGTTAATACCTGTTTTGTTACGATGTTTAATGACTGTTGCAGGTCATGAAGCTGCATATTTGCTTTGGGTGCTGATTTGTATGTGTCCTTGAATATTTAGATGCTTGATTCGTTTCTAGCTGTACAACAGCCTCCAAGAATCATTAATGACTATTTTCAGATTTTGCTGGTTTGTTTGCTCTTTATCACTTTGTTTTCCTTTGCTTGGGAGAGCTATGACAAAACCACTGGCCATCAGCCTAATCTGGTACTTGGGTCTTACATTGTGGATGTCCCAGTACTCCAAGAACCACCTCATGGATAAAATCAGCAACTACACTTTTCCCCTCTTCTCTGAGAGACATTTTGTGGAGAGAGGGGAAAAAGTGGCACCTATCCTTTCCTCTCCTCCAGGACAGTTTTTTATAGCCTTGATGTAGTGGCTTCTGAGTTCCTTCTGTATCCTTATGTAATCAGACTGTTCATACTGATGTGTTGTGATCCCATCTTTGATAAGGTTAAACAGCTATTTGGGGTTACCATATGTTTTGAGCATGGCAGGAACATGCTCTGAGGTGACTGATCCCTGGGGTGTCAGTATGTATGGGAGGAGCTGGGCAGGGCCATTGCTGCCTCTGACAGCTTGTGATTTCATATCTGAACAGGCTCATTAACCCATCAAACTAATACATTATTTGAAGGAGTGAAGGTGACTTCTATAGCTGTGTTGGATGTGCCCCATGCCTATGAAGTCTGTATCTGGTGCCCTTAGAAATGCAAGAGGGTCTGGTCTAAAAGCCCGCAAACAGACTTGTGGTAGTCTGAAACTGAGAAGATGTCTTGGTCTGAGGCCACAGAGACACTAAACCAGAGACTGAACCCTCAACTATAATAGCTGATCTTGTAGTAGAGAAACAGTGGAAGCAGAGATCAAGTTAATAAGAGAGGAAGCAGCTCCTGCTCAGAGGAGGAGAGAGGAAGAATCAGAATAGACAGCCTGTTCGACGGCAGGATCAGAAAGGAGAGACAGAAACCATGAGAAGCGGAAGCTACCTGGTCCCTACCCATGACCTAGCTGCAAGATAATGTGTAAAGATTTTGCCTGACAAGATGAGCTAATTGCTATCTGGTTGCTTCAGAGCTGGAATAGTAGGGCTAACAGTCTGGAACTAAAAGGTAGGGGAGCAGAGCATCTGGGATTCTTTGCTAGGGATTGTGGGACTGACAGAGGGATTGGAAGAGGGTCAGCCACATCCAGGTTCCAGAGGTGAGTCCTATTGAGTATGAAGACAAAGTACTCTCTTAAGGAAGATATTGTCATCCAGTGAGGCATGTGGACTGTCACAGAGGAATATATTTAATGTTTGAGGGAATTAGGGGTGGTGGAGGTGATCTTCAGTGACATGGACAATAATCAAGCCTAGAAAGATCCAAACAATGTACAATGCACACAATCTGAGCAGCTGAAGTCTATACAGAACATACAGACATCATATGACAGCAACCTAGTAAGGCTGAATTAGGCTGACTCTGTGGCACCAACTTTGTACAGAACAGTTTGCCAGCCCTAGAGATTTACTGATCATTCCCTCTCCTTGATAAGGGCCTGCATCTCAGCTGTGGAAGGACTGTTACACAAGGTCTAGCAACTCAAAAGATAATGTGGATAATCTCTTTACCCCCTTGATTGGTCAGGCCAGCATACTGGCTACCATGACCAGGAATTCCTCTGCTTAAGGGAAAGGGAACCATGGACCCATGACAAATCCCACCCTACAGTTCTATCTATATGACTTTGAAAAGTATATGAGAAGTGGGGCAGTGCACCTATTTTGGTTCTGGAACTTTGCACTTAAAGCAATCTGTACACAAAAGGGGAAGAGGCAGTGGTTTAAAAGGGTCTTCCAGGAAGATTACTGTTCCAGTTGCTGTCAACCAGTTCCTGAGATGCAGTAGACCCCTTCCTCTTTCTGGTACTGATTCAGTGGGCTTACAGCTCTGTGGGTTTGAACCCCATGCTTCTACCATCTGTTACAATCTGGTCTAATCACAAAGGAGCAAAGAGAACTCTCAGCGAATAAAACAGAAAGAATTCTGAGGTTTGATTCGTCCCTGAAATGAGATTAAAACCAAACAAGATTTTATGTTAATACCAAAAAATGGATATGTTTTATTTAACAATAAAAGAGGGAAATGGAAATGGAAATGGAAATGGAAAGGAAAGGAAAGGAAAGGAAAGGAAAGGAAAGGAAAGGAAAGGAAAGGAAAGGAAAGGAAAGGAAAGGAAAGGAAGAATGACAAAGACAGATTAAGTAGAAACATACCACGCCTCCATGGATCTTAATGATGTCTCATAGATCCTCTCCATCTGGTCTTGTGGTGGTGAGGGTCCCCTGCCAAAAGCATAGTATCCAATGGATTAGTATACATGTGGTCCAGGTCGGAATGTCCAGGTGCCTCCTCTGAGGCAGGGGCCATGTTTGACACTATCCCTTGAAAGACTTTGGGTCAGTTGCATCATTTTGTATCATGAACAGTCCTCTGGCACAGAGTCTCGGGAACCCTTCAGAGGGCCTTTGATGAACCTTGACGCCCCCTTAGCTCCCCCTCATGTGAATATCCCATAGATTTGACTTTCCTGGGTTGGGGGGTCCCACAGCTGAGCTAGTCTGCATAGCAGAGGATGGGCGTCCACTGCCTCTGACCAGAGGTTTTCACATGCACTTGAAACCCTCCTCCCCCACTCTTTGGTGGGGGGGGGGGGGGGGGGGGGAAGTTTTGCCCCCCCCCCCCCCCCTGTGGGGGGGGGGGGGGGGGGTGGGGGAGAAGTTTCTGCAAACCTGGCAACAGATAAGCCTGGGGCTATGCCTCCACCCTGAACCCGCTGGGCTTGGCTCTTCTGTGAATGCTCTCCCAGCCTTATCCGTTACTTCTCAGGCCTGAGGTGCTTTAACCAATTTCTTTTTTTTCACTTTTCTTCTCTTGAATAGCCTTAGTCAGTTTAACTCAGAGAGTTTCAATCAGGAGGCACATTCACTTTGGGCTTTGGTTATGCAGCTTTGTTGTACAGTTTTGCCATAACAGGCAAAAAATCAATATGACAATGTTTAAGCTGTGATAACATTTCAGTGTCTGACAGCACAGAAGGACTGTGCTGGTCTGTTGTAGGATCAGACAACTATTCCTGTAACATAGCCTGGGCTACTGTCCTGAGTGATCACTGTAACCAGACAGAACCCACATCATGGACTAAATAAACTCAGTGGACATTTTATGGGTATTTTACAGGAGTGGTCTATATACTAAAGGAATGATATCTGTGCATAAGTCAAAGGATGAGAAGGGAAGAAAGGATGGTTAATAAGGTTGCATTGGATAGTGTGGGGCTTGAGCATGACATAAATGGTGTGGAATATGAAGTGGGGGTTGTACTACATCTGACCAGGATGGAGTTAGTTTTCTTCATAAATGCTTGCAGGGTGCCATGTTTTACATTTCTGACTAGGACAATTCTGATAAAACACCAGTGTTTTGGGTCTTGCTGTGGAGTGTTTGCACAGCATCAAGTGAAGGAATCTGTCTGTGACTCCAGTGAATAGATAGGCAGGTGTGCCCAGGGACAGGAAGAGCACAACCAGGCAGATGACCCAAGTCAACCAAAGAGATATTTCACATCATATGATGTACTCAGAAACTGAAAGGGTTAGGAGGAGGATTTAGTTATGTTAGCTGTCTTTTTGTGCAGGAGCTAATGGGCATCAGTCTACCCTTTGGAGGCAGAGAGTGATTGGTTTTGCATTATTTAACTATCTTTGCATTACTTGTGTTATTTTCTCTGTTCTTTCATTTCACCTTCACTTACTGAACAATTTCTGTCTTGACCCACCAGTTTTCTTTCTTTTACTCTTCCTTGGGACTGGGGGCTTGGAAGTGAGGGAGTGTACTTATTTAGGTAAGTTAGTTTTCCCCTTAGTTAGGGGGAAAAATAAGAGAAAGAGAGAAAGAGAGAAACTTTCCTTTCTTTTGGAAGTGTGTACTTAGTTGCATACTCTCAGCAGTTGTCCTGTGAACCCAGAAATTCTTTTGAATCCTGGGAAGATATTACTCTGTCAGAAGCATTATAGATATAATTACAATACAGGTATTTTCAAAGATATCAGTGAATTTACAGATAACCCAGGGACTAAGTTTTGCAACTCTTGTCTAATATTATCTAATACTATGCATGTAATATGCTAGTCTGTCTAATATTACAAAGTTACAGTCTCATCTCTTATCTCTTAGCAATTCCCTAAACTGTATTTCTTCAGCTATGGTCTCATAAAACCTCCTGTATTTCCTTTTCCATTACCATGCCTTTAGCTAACAGAGTTTCTAAACTCTGCTTTTGTGTTAAACAACAACTTTTGCTTTTTGGTGGCATCATACTTCTTTATGGTTTTCCAAATAAGGTGAAAATTTCAAAACATCTGGGAGTCTTAGCATACAGATATCCCCTGAGGATCCAGTCATATTGCTAGTGCTGATTAGCTGTTTCTCTCACAGCAGATAATAGTCTTAGAGATGACCTATGGAGAGAAGAGCTCTCAGCCTTCTGAGAGCATGCCTCCTAACAGAACTGACACATGATCAAATAAATAATTCTTTTTGGAAACATCCCCATAATACATTTAGGAAGTACTTATATTGGATGTGCTGCCTTAAAATGTTGACTGTGAACATCAAAACAAAAGAAATGCAGGTTATTGTACAGTGAAAATCATCTCAAATGAAAATAAATTTTATTACTTAAAACAACTGTATACCAGTTGGAATCTGAGTGAACTTCTGATGCCAGATGAATACCTCAGAAAAACTAATTTGTGTTTGTCATGTGTGGAAGGAGGCAGTGCTCCAATAAGTTAGAATTTCGTAACATCAACCCATTTTTAAGTTTGCAACCAAACTGATAAAGCTATAGATTGCATAAACAAATTTTGTCTTTTCTTCGTTCTCAAGCAATCTAAATCACAGCTTTTTTTCTTCCGTCTTGATTTTCTTCTGTGGCTTATTTTAAACCTCTGTTTCCCAGGTTCAAAAGAGTGTAAAAGCTGAGCTTAAGCTTAGCTGAAACTCCCTTCCCCAGGGAGTATGCCATCCACAGCCAGGAAGAGATGGCTAGAGAAAGGCTAAAATAAATGAAACGCTACAGACTCCAGAGCAGAGTTTGTATATGGACAGATTTAATAACTAGTAGAGGACCTATTCTTGTCTGTACATACACATTTCTTTGCTAGCAGCTATTGTTGCTTGGATAATGCTATCTTACATGATATTAAAGTACCAGACTATAGCTAACACCCAAACTCATTCATATGTCCACCACCAGGACTCTTGTAGAAAAAAATAGGAAGAGCAGGAATGAGAAGGTTTGTGGGTTGATGTAATGTTTCAATACTTTGTCTTTGGCTTCTGCAGGCCTTCTAGAAGACTAACAACCTGTGGAAGTCTCCATAAATCAGAATAAGTTCATTCACAAGAACATATGAACAAGCATTCTTGTGTTTTCTTTAATCTTTAAACTGTTATCCAAGTTGCAGATTGAGAACAGCTGTTCTTATTGTTTTCATTAGATAAGTATATTAATCACAAGATGCTGTGATCTTGTAGCTACATGTAACAACATACTAAAGAGAATAATTGAATTTAATATATACTTCAATAAATTAGGTTTGGTTGTGAGTACATTATCTCCTTAGGAAGAATAAAACTTGTCAGAACAAAATCAATAGATGAAACAGAAGTGAAGAAATAGCTGCTAGAAACTGCAGATAACCACTTACAAAATCTGATATACATACCTCAAGACTTTGCAGTTCATGTCTTTTAACAATAAATGAGGTTTTATTTTGATTAATATTCCAGTTGTAGGAATAATAATGTCCCTTTTGCCCAGCTGAACTTTTCTTTTATTATCTAGCAGGTACTAGTCATGGATGAAGAACTGTTTAGCCAAAAGAATAATGAAATGCAGATACTGCAGAATCAGATAAAGACATTACTACAAGAAAAGAAAGAACAACAGGAATTTTTAAAGGAGGCTCAAGAAACACAAAGATTGCAGGTACTTTTCCACTGGTACACATTTATCTGCATAGAGCCATCCTTCTACCATGTGAATGCATTCAGCAGGTCCCTCAGAATTTTTTTTACTTATTACCAGTCAATATTGGGGACATTTTGTTTTAATTAGAGCTGTTTCACAGAATGAGTTGGGTTCTTCTAGTGCATATGGACAGATTTAGGCACAGTAATGTGATTCCTGGAGACTGTATATGAACCTAACTGTGCCAGAAGCCTTCTGCATAACTTGAAGTGAACCATTCATGCTCTCCATGCTTCCTGAAGCATAACACACAACCCTCTCCCCAGATTTGTATCATTGTTAAGCAGTTTCAGGACAATTAATAGATTAGGATTTGAAAGACTTTGAAAGATGCTTTAGAATTGGAAAAAGACTATATGGATCCTATAGAATGCTTTAATTGAAAAGTTGTATAGAAACTTATTTTGTATTAGCTTTATGAAGAATTGATCTTTATAAGACAGAATTCCATCCTGACTTTCTGATCATTGACCATTAGAGAAAACTGAGTGACACAGTGGAAAGTGAGGTAATGACAAAGAGGCTGCTTGCCTCTTTCTTTCTGTAGATCTTGAATTTGCTAATGAAATTACCGTGGCTAGTATGTGCATAACATTACAAGGTTGAGAAGACTGCACACAGAATAGTTAATATTCTGCTGGTGTTGCCAGACATGCAGATTACAGATAATTTATTATATGAATTTTTAAAAGAGAAAAGCATAAACATGGATAGCTAGTGCTCTTCTCCTTACTATACTTTTTCTCCTTTTTCCTTTTCCTTTCTGATGACTTGGGAGAGTCAGTGCATTCAAGGTAAGTAAACTAGTCATGATCTTTTTCTTCCTTCTGTCACTTTCTTTTCTGTCACTTCTAGATAGATTTTTTTTTTTTAGCCTGCACACCATAGTGTCAACTTATACTGTGATAATGCTTATATAAATTTTGGAGGATACAAGGTAGCTGTCACAGCATAGATAGAAGGTTCTTTCAGTATCAGAGACAGGAGGGAAGCTTGAGAGCTTTCAGGCACCATTTTGCATTTTGACATTTAGTTCACTAAACTGCCACTTTTATTTAAAAACATACAATGTAAAGCAAGTGCTTCTGTCAAATATTTTACATTGTATTCACAGGTATATGTAATTTAATGGTACATGATAGAATAAGGACTTCTAGAGTAGCAGGTATGAGGTAGGAGGTAATAAATGTTTACACACCTATGTATTTATGTAATGGGCGTTACACTGTGGCATTGTATGTGCAATTGTATCAGGGACAAATAGCTTCAAGGTGGATCAGTTGGCTGTTACTTCTTCTAAAATGATAACAAATATGATATTCATACATATATTCTATTTTCTATTACATAGGAATAATATGTATTGTATTCCAACACAATGTCAACTTGTAAAGCATTGTGTTTGGAAGGAACTTGCAATCTAAGACAACAACATAAAGAATGAATAAAAATGTATTACTCAAAGTAGAAGAATACAGAATGTATCATGTATAATTCAACTGCCCTGTTGTTGCTAGGCCAGATTCTAACCATATTCAAAAAGAATCAAAAATAATAAAGTGAGTTGAAAGTGGATATAATCTTGGCTTTATAGATGAATCAGTTCAGATAATGTCAGTACTTTTGAACAATGTATGGAGGGTGCTGTAAGAGAAGCAGATAAGTTCTCCAAATTAGCATTATCAACTAACCTGAGGTTGGGTGGAAGAAAAAGCAGCAAGTGAACCTGAGATCATGTACATGTTTAGTTAATTAATACAAGTAATCTTTAAAGTGGAATTGTACAAAATGGAAGAGGAAGCCCATATACATGTTTAAGTAATAAGACTGAGACCGTAAGTTTAATTTGAAAATATTTGTTTAATTCTCATTTCTCCATAAACACTCATATAAAGCAAGCATGAGCTCCTAATTATGTCATCCACTTCTCACTAGATGCCTGGATAGGCTAACAAAACTAAACCGGGTGTGCTGTGGGAAAAAAAGAAACTCACACAATTACCTTGAGAGAGATTTCAGGTCAGAGTTACAATTTAGAAAGGTTAAAATAAATGTAATGATACACATTAAAACTGGTTTAGTTTTAACTCAAATTACAGCCTGGCATCCTGTTGACCGAGGTGGTGGTTGCAGTCCTGTCAGGTGATGATTGCAGTCCTGTTGAAGGCATGGTTGCAGTCAAAAGTGGTGGTCCTGTGGAAGTTCTGGGCCTCGTCTGGATCTGTCCAGGCATGATGGGGGTTCCAAGAACCCAGTGGTCAGATTCAGGGGAGGGTATTCAGCACCTCTCCCACAGTGGACAGTTGCACAATGGGAATGATGTAATCCTGAAAGTCATAGGATATTTTTGGGAATCCTTATTGGTCTAAGTTGTTACAGCTGTCCATTATGGTGGCGCTGTTGAGCCATTATGGCCCATTGGCAGAGATGACCCCTTCAGGATCAGTGGGGCTCTGCTGGTGTTTCCCCAGAAGGAGTTAGCACTGCAGAGTCATTTGTGAAGAAAAAGAAACACTCCCCTCCTCACATGGTTTGGCTCTTCTCCTTATTTAACACCATTGTAGCCTGAGGTGTCAGCTGGGCATGTACTGGGCATCTACTGCAAACGACCCATCATTAACAGTTTCCCAGAAATGGTGTAGAATACTCAATTTTGTTACACCCCACACTGGCACTCTTTCTGTAACCCAGGACACCTGGGTAGGTCTTTCTGAACAAAAATGTGTCTAAACTTTACTGGGCTGGTGAGTGGGAGGGGGGAAGGGGGCTCTGAGACTGATGATATGTCATAGAATTCTCAGTTTGTTGCAGAATTTGCCTGTGCCCTGCATGATAATTTAGGGTCTGTGGGTGATTTACAAGATTCATGACCTTTGTGAGGAACTAGAAGTCATGAATATGATACAGAGCTTAGTTTTGCTTTTGCTTTATTTTTTTTCCCATGAGACTGAGAAAATGGTGGAACAGCACATAGTCATTGATCAGCTAAAATTGAAATTAGAGAAGTTTACAGATGTGAAAGCTTTAGATTTCCCAAGTGCTTATGAAGATGGACCAGCTGTCATGGCATTTGCTAGGAGGCTCTACAGTGTCCCAGTCACAAAATACCTGCTACGCCCCCTTCAACTGCCGTCAGAGACAGAGATCCAAAAGGTAAGGTGTACCCAGATTTTCCCCCTTCTACTTTGTAATGATTATAGGACAATGATTAGACATGACATAATAACATATGATGTGTTTCTCAGATACTGCTGCTTAACTTCCCGCTGAAAAACTAGTTTTGTAACATCTGTTTATGCCACAATTATCCAAAATATTTAAGTTTAAAATTCCCACCTACTATTGCTATGGCTCTCATGTTTTCACCCCCCAGCTGGTTTCCTAGGGGTTTTGAGAGTTCAAGTATGAATCATTATAAAACATGAATTATTATTCTTACCAATATGTTGAGTGTGTGAGAAAATGAACTGCTATCAGAGGGCACCTCTTTCACGTTTGGAATGACTCCTCGAAGCTCTTGCAAAACGTTTTGTTACAAAGGTATTCAGAGTTATTATGGAAAATCTGTGTGATTTTGCTTACAAGCTCAGGTGGTGAAATATTTTTTAAAATATGAGTAATGAATTGCTAAATTATTGCAAGTATTTTTACCCATCACTATTTTTGTGTGCTTTTTGACAGGGGTATACCAGCCCCCCCATCTTGTCTCTGGCCCAGATAATGGCAGAATTCCATATTCGCAGGCAAATTATACTGAGCAAGTTAGAAGATCAAGACAAAGTCCTTCACTGCCACCTCTCTGATCAGAGTGATGAAGAGGAAGACAATACAGGCAGCGAACAGAAAACCTCATATAAGTAATTTTTTTGTTGTTCTTTAACTTTTGTTACAGAAAAATATATAGCAAAGGTAGTATAAGTGCCTAATCCTTCCATGATATGAGACCATCTGTAATGATACTTACAGTAAATATCTGGGACCAACTGGGCATACTGCAAATTAATTATAATATATGTAGGTTTAGCAAAGATTGCACAATCCTTGCTTGTGAGTAAGAATCTGCCTTGAAGACTGGGGGATTTGGTGATGGTGTGTTTGGGAGTGGTGTGGATGCGGAAGAAGGTATAAATGCTTTTGTAAGTTCGAGCTTCTTCTCTGTTAAGATCATCTACTTTGCATGATGCTTAAAGAAAAAGAAATCCCTGTGTATTTGCAGAGTAGCATGTTTATTGTTCTTTCATAGGTGTTCTATAAACCAAACATGGACACAAAATCATTCTTCTCCATGCTTCCTTCCTGATGTAAGTGACATGAAACATCGAGGAGACAAGTCTGGTTTGTCCAATAAATCTGCGCTACAAACCGGCACAACTACAGGTATAATGGAAGTCATTAGAGCAAATCTTAGTACAGTAAATAATGTCTCTAGCACATGTAATTAGTTTTCCCAGCAAAATATGTGCATTTGTTAAAAGTATTTTTTGGTTATAATTCAGTGTAGGTTTTCCAATTTCTGTTTTTCTTTCCCATTCTCAAACTGATGTTAGTAACCTCTATGTAATACCTACTAGCCAGAAAGCACTTATCAAAAAGGTAGTCACATAAAACTCTTTAGTACTGCTTAAATGAAAGAAAATGGATGCTATTATCTTACCAAAAATACTGAAGTGGTTTTTGGAATATTTTTCAGACTTGGGGTCCTGAAATGCAAGTGCATACCATCCTTCTTTTCCTGTTTAGACACGTGGCAGGGAAGAATACCCTGCATTCTTCTCTCTTTTTGATTCTTGTACTTCATATGGAAGAACTGCACACAGTCAATATTGCAGAGCACTACCTTTTGGATACAATATCTCGTCCAGATTTTATAACTGTATTTTGCTTTGTTTTTTTCAAGGTGAAGAGATTGACAGCCTCCAGAAATCCCATGTTTTTAACATGCAGAAGTTAAAGAATTCAGAGTTGAGACTTGCTATGACTGAGCAAAAAATAAGAGAACTTGCACTTAATATCAAAAGGAAAGAGGAACTTATTAAGGAGTTAGTAAGAACAGGTAACTGGCTACTGTAGGAATACCGGATACTGTAGGGAATTATGATGTTCTGAAACAAAGGAAAGGCATTGAAAATGTAAAGTCCTGTATATCTTAGTTTTTACAGAATTATCTTAGACAAGAATACTTTTAACAACCTAAAAATCCATAGATTTTGCTAATTACTTGCTGTGATTTTTGATTACCGTCTACTCTTCTATGAAGATTGTTTGTTAAATATTTTTTGTGCTTTGTTGATTATTGCTTTTATTCAACAGTAGTGTAATTTTTAATGTATGGTCAGTGCTATCTCTTTGTACATGTGTATTTGTGCCATAGAGTCTGGGATTGGAGAAAAGATACATCATTGTATCTTCTATATTCTATAACAGTAAAGAAATGGGAGTCAGAAGTGGATGAAAGAAAAAATCAGTGTCCCTGGTAGCATACATCCCTTGCACATCTGTCCTGATAGAGAAACTAGCCTTGTGATGACAGGAAGGATCTCTTTCCTCAGCCCCTTCAATCACACTCTTCTCTTTCATTTACCTTCTCTTGAGGTGGTCTGAGAAAGATTCTGTGCCATCCCAGATTGCCCGAACAGGACAAGTCACAGAGTAGAAACACAATCCAAGATCATATACTAATTATTAAGCTGAAAGTTGAGTAATAAATAAATGGCATATATTTCTGTGGAAAAAAAAACCAAACAAAATTATGAAATACAGGATAGCCATTTTGCCAAAATCTAAAGTAGGCAGAAGAATTTAACTCTGGCACTCAGATTGCACTTTATTTGGTACCATGAGGTGACTCATGAAATGTTCAGATTTAGGATTCTCTTTATCTCCATTTCAGACTTAGAAGGGAACTGCAGGTTCCTTTAGTGTTGGAAAATGTATCAGAAATTACTGACTTAGCCAGAACAAAGTAAGTAATATTTCAACTCCAGAAGTGAGTATTACATTTCAACTGATTATCATGGTGGTTTTAAACTATTGTATATACTGTCTTTAAGGTAAGGATGCTCAGTCTGTAAGCAGGCAGTATTCTTTGAAGATAAGTAAACTGGAGCAAGAAATTGAGCAGGCCAAAAGAGAACTGGCTGAAACGCAGAAGCAGCTTCAGGAGCTGGACAGTAAAGAGCTGAGAGATATTCCTGAGAAAGTCATGTTACAGAAGGAGTGCCAGAAGAAGATGGAGGCAGCTAAGTTGAAAGTGCAGGTATTTCTGATCTGATTATTAAGATTTGCAAATCTCTGTCTCACTGTCTGAACCTTAACACTCTGTAAAATTCTTACCTGTTTTACATGCTGGAAGCTGGTCAGATTTAAGTAGCTAGTGGGAAACTTAATACTGTTATACTCAAAATGCTGGTTAACATCTACTTGGTTAGATACATAAAATACCTTCTTGGTATGTAAGAGGCTAAGAAAGTATTGGAAGAGATGAGATTTCCATACTGCATTGTATATAGTCCAATAGAGGAATTTATCCAAAAGAGGGTATTACAAATTTATTACTTCCCATAAATAAAATTGATGTTTTATGGAAATACTATATAAATTGTAGGTCTAAGCAAATCCCTGTGATGCGTTGCAAGATCGTTGCAAGATGCCTTGCAATATGCCCAACACAAGCATATTTGTTTGACACTAACCTTCTATTTTTAAGTTCTGCTATATCTAAGTTAGTATTCTGTATACGGCCAGCTTAGGTGCTCTGTGCCTCTCGATCCTAGAATGACAGGTCAGAAAAGTTCCATACAGAAAGAGGTAGTTTGCTTATTGACTTGAGCTCAGGACCAGCATTCTGACCACCAGCATTCAGACACCAGCATTCAGACACCATTGTGTCTCTGCAAATTTTCTAGAACTGTGGTTTCTGCTAGATTTTAGTACTTTTACTGTATTGCCAAGCATGAATTGTACCTTTTCATGTTTAATTCTGCCTGTGCCAACTTCACCAGATAGCTCAAAACTACAGTAATAACAAGTGATTGTTTGGGCAAAAGTTAGGCCCTAAGAATTCAGTGAAATAAAGAATGAAGCTGAGTCATATTTTAGTTACAAGTTTCCCTGCTCTTAAGCTGAAATTTGTCATGAACATTCAGGCTTTACAGAAGAAGCAGCAAGACACCAAGAATTTGGCTTCATTATCTAACCAAAGGGAGAGAGAAGCAAGAGAACTTGAGCAGAAAGTGGCTCAGATGAAGCATCAGCAATCCCAGATACAGAAGAGACTGTGTGAGGAGAGTGAAAAGAAGAAGCAACTGGAAGCAGAGCTTCATCAGGACCAGCAACAAATTAAAGTAGGATTCTTCCTGTTTCCCTATGACAAAGATTAGGATAAATAATTTTTGCCCCTGCTTCCCCAATAAACTACACTACCAGGCTTTCCCTTATTTTCAATAATGCCTTAATGAATTTCTTGAAAAATGCACCAAAGCAATTGTTGATAAATATTTTACATTAATCTCCATTTTGCCTTTCTCTTTCAGCTTTTTTTTTTTTTTTTTGTAATGGGGAAGTCAACCTGGTGTCTAGTTCTGAATTGTAATTTTATAAATAAATTTAGAGTCAGTATTTCAGATTATATCTTCGGGGGACTCTCACATTAAAGGTATTTGACTGATGTAGGAAGAATGGTGCTTTATGTTTGTTCAAAGGAACTTCAACTTAAGATGGAGCAACAACAGAAGATCCTTAAAATTAAGGATAAAGAAACTGCTGCTTTTAAAAAGAAGAAAAATAATTCAGTGGGAACTCCACAGAAACTACAGGTAGTTAATCTATTCCAAATATGTGCAACCCCCAAAATAAAAAAATCTTTCTTCATCTCTAGTCATCTGTTTTCGTAAACTATTTGTATGAAGAGTATTCCATCATAGTTTTGTCTTTTCTTTTTTTTTCCTGTAGCAAAAATTGGGAGTAGAGCCTAGCAGCTCTTGTACTGTACTCTTTTTGAATGAAAGAAAGGAGGGCCTTTAGTGTCTTCTATATTTTTTTTTTCATATAATTTGTCAAAAATACTGATTCAGAAACCTGTGAATTCAGCAGATTTGGTTTTCCAGTAGGTTTGAGGGTGGCCTTGCTGTGCTGTGTTTTAAGTGTTCTGTGGGTTTTTCAGGTGTTTTATTTTGTTTTGGTTTCTACTTTGACATAAACTACAGTGGTTTCTGGTTTTGGTTGCTGATAACAGGGTTAAAAAAGTATGCAAATATTGTAGCAGTGCCACCTACAATATTTCAGATGTGGACACTGAAATATGAATTACCCTATGCCTTTAAAGGTGAAAAGAAATTTTAAGAGTTAAATAAAGGAAACATTTTAGCCTTAACAGGAATATATCCATGCTTGCAGGTCCAACAAGGAGCTGGTTTTGGGCCACTAAAATGCAATGAGGATAGGCAAGTTGAATTTTCGTGGTACCATCTAAACCTAGTTGCTGTGCTTATGTAGATGACATCTATTTATGTAAACAGTTTTAAAAAATATATTTTTTAGAAAAGATGCTGCATCTGATACAAGTTTATTTATATGAGATATAGCAATGTAATATTGCTGAGGCCCCTTTTAAGTCAGTCCAGTTTCTGTATTATTCTGAGTAAGGATTCTGTGGGCAGAATTAATACTGATATTAGAAATGTTAATGTCTTCTACAGTTTTATCAGTAATTCTGAAGAAAGGTAAAACATAACCATAATATTCTGAGTCAAAATATCCTGGTTAATGCTCTATGGGTCTCTCTTGGAACTTTAGAAATTAGAAGAGCAGAAGAAGTGGCTGGATGAAGAAATGGAAAGAATTCTTCAACAGCACCAACAGTTAGCAGAGCTAGAAGAAGATTTAAAGAAAAGAGAAGCCATTGTAGCAAAAAAAGAAGCATTATTGCAGGAGAAAAGCTACCTGGAAATCAAGAAACTGAGATCTAGCCAGGTGACTAAAAAAAACCCCACAAAACTCACCACAGTCATAAGGCTAACTGAAAGACTGGTGGTGGGGGAGGGCAGATAGGATAGCTGGGGAGGCTCAAGGGGCCTCCTGTGTCTACACCCCTGTGATGCAGATATTATGTAGCTTGACCAACTGACATTTAAATTGTAATTAACACAGATAATCATTTTAATTCCCTTTTTCTCCCCAAAATTGCAACAATGAAACAAAACCCAAAACCAAACAATTCTGAACTATGGAATTGTTTTTGCGGAGTATTAAATGATATGATATGATGTGATAGTTATGATATATTATTTATAAATATGACTAAATCTTTCTGCTTTCTAGAGAACACAGCAGGGAAATGTTTTGCAATATTTACTTTCCAGTAGAAAGAGTGAATACAAAGTATCATTGTTACATACAATGACTAGTGCCTTTAATTTTTATTATGTAGAAAACTTCACGTAAAACTTTTTTTTAAATGCTATCTGTCCACTCAAAGTAAATCAGGTCCCATTACAAGAAACAAGAAATTTTTTCACTTCAGAACGTGACAGTGTCACCTACTTTTTTCTTACTGGAAAGGAATGTCTCATTTTTATATCTGTGGTTGCTGTGGTTTTTTTTTAGGCTTTGAACAAAGATAGTATGAAATTGTCTACCTGCTTAAGTATGCTGGATCAGGAGCTGTGTGATAAAAGTATGCAGCTTCAGGGCAGCACCACTGACAAGTCAGACATTTTGGAAAAAATTCAGGCTCTCCAAATGGAAAGGGATCAACTGCTCAGAAGGAGAAATAGTATGGATGAGAAACTGAAAGATGGTAAAGTGTTGTCAACTGAAGTAAGTAAGCACCTCTGAATTAAATACAGGTTTTAGGTATTGTTTGATAATATAGAATTCCAGTAAGAACCTAAAATGTTTTCAAGTAGCTAGAAATAACGAGCAGAAGTTGGATATTTTTGTAAAGCAATTTTAGAGTACTGCTATGATAGGACCAATTAATTTACTGGTAAATGAAGTTTAAGATCAGAGGAATGTAAGTCAGATTTGTGTCCTGCCAAACTCTATTGGTCTAAGAGTCATATAATGAGAAGTAAGGGAACCAGAAGTTAATCAGTGTGTATCAGTGTTAATCAGTTAATCAGGGTATCACAGGTAGGTATTTTAACATCAGGATACAGAACAAGTGATGTATTCACATAATGATGCCCCTTGATTTTTTTCATAGAATCTTCTGAAAAAAGCAAACATAGTTCTACAGTGAAAATAAGTCATATTACATGGATGGCCCATTACCTGGAGTTGATCAGTATCATTATGTTGAAGATAATATAAATTCATATAAAATGGAGAGATTACTTTTAGGTCTTGAGAAGAGACTTGCCTCACTCATCAAAGTTGGCAGTACTTCAGGCCAGGCATTTCTGCCACTTCCATACACAAGTCATGGGCACCAAACCCCTTACTGACTGATTCATTAATTCATTAATCCAACAGAAAACTAGTACATAAAAAAACAAACAGTAGAAGTCAAACTGTGGTGAGGATGAGGGAAGGGTAAAAAGACAAACATGACTTCTAGTTTTGTGATGAGACATCTGATCAACTTCTGTAATGTGGTAGGAAAGGACAAATGCTCTGGATTTGCATTCTACCTCTTGTTTTCCCCACTCCACTGTCTGTGCTACAACTAGTTCATCTTACCATTAAGTTTAGCTTTGCTTTTAAGAATGAAGTTAAAGATGTCTTGAAAGATTAATTCAGAGCTTTTTAATTCTTTTTTGGTAAAGATCTCACTCATGTGTTTCTCTGTAGGAAGAACATATTCTTTTCCAGATAGAAGAAGGAATTGAAGCCCTTGTAGCTGCAATTGATTACAAGAATGAAAGTATTCATAATCGCCAGCACTTACTTAGGTCATCTTCTCAGAGTCTTTCACAGAGCAAGCATAATGTAATAGGGAAACTAGTTTCCCTGTCTGCTGCTGAGCTCAGAGCTATCATCATCAGTTATTTCAACAAGGTTTGTTTTGGCTAATGAATACTATTTTATCCCACTTTCTATTACTATTCTAGATACTGAGATAGTGGCAGGAAATAAAAATAAATTTAAGAAGCTTAAGCTTTTGGTTAATATATCTTCAGGTTACAAAGATCTGCTATTAAATTGTTTTTAATTTTTATTTTAACTTAAATAGGATACTTTGGGTTAACTTTGTGTATCTTCTTTTGATAGATTAGCTAGAAACATGCTACAAATCTGGAAATTACTTTGTCCTGTTCCAGTGCTCTGTGTTGCTAACTTAAGGAGAAACAACTATGTTTAAATAGTGGTGTTGTAGTCAAATTCTTCCTGACTGCAGAATTTCAGAAAGCTTCATAAAGCTCAGGCTGCTATTCCTATTGTGATTTTCCCTAATTCTGGTTGTGTTGGTTTAACACAGCCTAGCTTTTAGAGGGGGCAGAGGAAGCCAAGGAAGCAGCTTCTGAGAGAGAAAGCTGCTCAAAGCTTCTACTCTGTTCAGCAGAGCCAGTCTCTGAAGGCTCTGACAATGGACATGTTGCTGGCCCAATTAGAGAAGCTGGTAATGACTCTGTGATGACATATTTAAGAAAGGAAAAAAACGCGTGCAGTTTTTCTTTTCCAGGGCTGGGGGAGCGCTGGGGGGCCATGTGGCTGCCATGGCTGTGTGGCTGCTGCCACCTCAGCATGGCCAGCAGTGAACTGTGCCTGCCTGGCCATTTCTAGCCTGCTATGCCACAGACAGAAAGGCAGGGGTGGTGGCGGTAGTTTCTCGTTTCCAGCGCAGCCACAGCCATCTTAGCACAATCCACAGGTATCTGTGCCTGCTTGGCCGCTTTTAGCCAGCCATGCTGCGGGCCCAAGGGCAGGGACAGCGGTAGTGCTGTCTCCTTGCAGGTGCCCTGCATTGAGAGAGGGGCTGAATGGTGCCAGCACTGTAGTGGCTGGCACTGCCCGCGTGGCGGTGGTGGGGACCATGTGGCCAGCAGTGAGGGGCATGGTGAGCATTTCCCCAATACAGAGCCCAGATGAGATCAGCCTTTTAGCACTGTAAAACCCTATAAGAACTTTTCAGTGGATAGAACTTGAGAACAAACAAACATGCAGACAACAATTTTCTACTGAGCCAGAAAAAAGGAGGTGAAGACACATGAGGAGAACAATATGATGACATTAAGGTCAATGAAAAACCTCTATAGGAAGAGGAGGTGCTCCAAACATCAGAGCTGAGATTCTTCTCCAAGCTGTGGTGAGGACTATAATACAACAAACTTTCCCCGTAATTCCATGAAGTGCATAGGGGGATGCAGAGATCCACTCACAGCCCATGAGAAAAGATGCTCATGCTGGAGTAAGTAGATGATGAAAAGCTGTAATTTAGTGGGAAACTTGAACAGAGAGAGAAGATAGAGAAAGAGAGCCCTTTCTTTCAAAGTAGAACAGCTTATCTTTAAAAGACTACACCCTGTGAACTAAAATGACCCATACTATGCAGTTTTGGGAAGACTGCATTAATCGTGGGAGGGACTTAGGTTACAGGAGGTCAGGTGGGACTGCTACTCGTGAAAATTAGAACCACACTAGAAAAGTTCACAGAGAGTTGTCTCCTGTAGGAAGGACCTCACAGCATAGCAAAAGAAAATCCTCTCCCTACATGAACTGAAGAAAGATTTCAAATGAAAAAACTGAGCAAAACTCTCACACCATGACTCCCTGTGCTGTCAGTGGGAAGGAAGGAGGGGCAGAAAAAGAGTGTTCTAGAAGTTTTATTTTAATTCTCATTATCCTCTTTTAATTCTGTTAATAAATTTTTCATTATACCATTTAAATTTGAGCCGGTTTTGCCCTTAGAGTGTTTCCTCCCAATCCTTATCTCAACTCATGAACCCTTTAGATTGTCTTTCCCCCTCCTCTGCTAAACTATAACAGGGGAAAATGAGTGAATAATTTTCATGAGTGCCCAGCTTTTAGCCAATATCAAACCATGACACCAGTATAAACTGATACTTTGCAGTGTGTGCAACTACGTGCTTAGGAATCATACTGACATCTGGAAACATAAATATTAAATGCATTATGACATAGTGTCTTTGTGACCTTGGGTGAACCTTTAGTAATTTTGTAAAAGAGTTGTCTGTGGGATGCAAGTTGGAAGTCCGGAAAGCAGTGTTCTTTCAGTTTAAATTTTGCATAGGGTATTAAAAAAATCCACTAGTCCATGTCATCAAAATGTATGCATTTTAGTTCTGAAGAGTCAACCTGTAGCAGTGGCAAGTCTATTTCCAGTACAAGCTTAATTACTTGCAGTGATCCAGTGCTTTTGTATGTTTTAATCTATTAGGCTGAAGGGTAAAAGATTTTCTTAAAACCGCTTGATAAATCAAAATAAGTGTGTTTCTTTCTAAGATTGTTGGCCTGCGTGAGTCTGAACGAAAATTACAAGTGCAGATTGAAGAACAGGAAATGAAGTCCATACACCAGAAAAACATGATGCGTGAATTAGAATCTGCACTTGAATACATCAAGTTGCAGTGTGACAGGCAGCTGACTCACCAGCGCCAAGAACATGAGAAAAAAATACAGTTTATATTGAATAATTTCAAAGGTATTTTCTTCTTGGGCGGGGATTATACACCAAGTATTTTCTTTGGTCATTCATTAGAGAAATACTGTATTCCAATAGAAAAAATGAATAAGGTTCAGAGATGTATTTTGGCTGTCACTAATTCTATTGCTATGTAAGATGTCAAGGAACAGACACATGGTGTCTGTATGAATGCAAAACAGAATATTTTTAAAGCAGTATCAGAATTGTTGTATTTTCATATTGAGTTTACTGATACTGAAAAGTCGTAAGATACCAGTTCTGTTGATCTTGATCTAAATACTATTACAACTAAAAGGTGGGATTGGCATAGCCTTTTTGATCTTATTTCATGTTAGTTAAAACATGTACATTGCAAGCAAAATGCCATCAAGATACTCTGTCTAGTTGGGCATCTTGATGTTTGACACAGATACCTGGTTCTTAAACTGATTTTATTTCTCCTAGAACAAAGTAGTGAAGGTATTGCAGAAACCCTGAAAGGGTATGAAGTAAAAATCCAGCAACTGGAAAAAGATTTATTTTTCTATAAGAAAACCAGCAGAGAGCTGAAGAGGAAATTGAAGGGTCTTCTTGGAGAGTCATCTGAATAATTATTGTCATCCAGTAAATGTAAGCATATTATCTGATAATGTTTATGCAATTGTCAGTAGACCATTTGGAGAGTGGTGAACACACAGAACTATGTCAGATAGCTGTAAAATATTGTATTTTTACTGTATTAACTGTTCTTCAGGAATATATTCTACCTCTACCCCCGTTTCTAGTGAGAGACTAGCTGTAGCAGTGGTGTGCCAATGGTTTAAATTCTTGTTCTAATTTCTCTGGATTCTAACAATTTCAGCATCTACAACCTCAAACTGTTACGGTTCAGCCAAAGAAATTTTGCTCTCTAAAAACATCTGAATTCTATTGTAACTAACAGCTTTGTTATATGCCATGCATTTGATTTCTTAAAAGTTTCTGGGAGATTGTCAATGAAAAGTGCCACACTTCCAGTTACTAACTTATTTTAGCTACTTACTTACTAAAGCTGAAAGAGCATTTACACACTTGAAGGGGAAAAGAAGTGGTCTCTATTGTGACTCTGTGCTTTGACATAAAAAAACCCCAACCAAATGAACAAACAAAACACAGCAACCAACTGTTAGTATAAGTTTTTAATTGTTTCATGTCCTTCTTGCCAGAATCCAGATGTACAACAAAGCTATTCATATGGAGGAGAAAAGAAGGTTCACTTTCAGCACTGTTTTCTGTTGTCTCATACCTCTCAATGCCACCACAATATCTCACATACACAATATAGCCTTCTTGGCCTGTGGGTGTTTCTTTTCAAGGCTCAGCAAGACTGGTTCTTCCTCCCAATGGATGCTTCTGTTTCTTTCCACTCAGTGCCATGCCTTCATACAGAGAGATGCTGATCACACATCTCTACTCCCAGAGTGAATTAGGGCTCAGCCCTTTCCCTCGAGGCAAGATAATGAGCCTACACATTCATTACTATGAAGTACACTATCAAACTTTGAAAATGAATATTCTAGAGACTGGATAATAAATGAGCATGGGAAAGACTATTCTCTGTCTAGTATACACACAAGCATGTAGTTTAGGATATGTGTCTATGTGGGCAAACACTTATCCTTGACAAATTGTAGCAGTGGGAAGAAGGGAGAAGACCCCTGTGAATTTCCAACTTTTTCCAGTGCATATATTTGCAAGTTTTGTAAGAGATACTCTGCATTTAGTTATTCTTCTTTTTAGTACATTATGAAACATGTTGCTATACAATGCAATAAAACCATAATTTGTTACTGGGCTTTACAAATAATAAAATCCTGTTTGTATATTGCAGTCAAATTTGTTGAATGTCTTTTGCGTGTTGTACTAATGTAGTTGCTGATTGTTTTTCAATATATTAATAATTTCATATTTGTCATAGTTCAGTTGTTTTTAGACTGCTTACTAGGACACATGACAAGTTAGAATGGTGAGCCGTGTATTAACAGCACCTTCTCAGATGACAGTAATGGCAAGTACCTCCTATGTTTTTGTAGATGGTGAACTTTTTGAATATAAAGGGCAAAATGTGAGGTGCTGATAACTTTTTATGATGTTCATGCTGCGAGCTGCTGATGCTATAAAACCATGTGCCTACCCATGTCAGGCGCTCAGTGAAGTTGTAACTTTCAGGTATTTATCTGCTGATCATTTCATTTTAGTTAACAGTACTGGGTGTTGTTATCCAGTCAAGAGGAAGCAGAAGTTGATTCTGATGAATTCAAGTGAAAACAGCTGTTAACAAAGTTAATGTCTTTACTAACTACAAGTAAAAGTAATTTTTGAAGTATCAGAAAACTCCCACTCTGTCAGTCTGGTCAGTGTACTTTAAGCAATGAATATAAATAGTAATAAAATAATTTTAAATAATGCTATACTGCTTTACTGGATTTTGTTACAGTGCCAATTCCTTACAGTGGAAATTTTTGGGTTTTGCTTTAGATACTATCTAGACAATGGCAACACAGACTGAAAATAGGGAGAGAAGGCAATTTTCCTTAGCCACTGTGGTGAATAGCAGTACTGTGTAATTATTAACAAACCTTTTCTTCCTGATGGTGAATCAGATTTCCAATTTCAGTTATGTGTAGCAGGAGAAAATACAGAAAAGTGCAGGTCTGTATTCTTGTTATACTGCAGCTTTGAAGGAACTTCTCTTAAACCTGAGAAAATACTGATTTTTTTTAACTACTTCAGTATTGGACTTAATGTACAGAAATATTCCCAAAAATATGCAGCTCTTAAATGCAAGAAAATCTGCATAGAATGTAAGAAAACAAATAGGTTGGAAGTAGGTTTTGGATAACAATACACTTTGGATGCCCCATTCATGGAAGTGTTCAAGGTCAAGTTGAAGGCTTTGAGCACCTTGACCTAGTGAAAGATGTTCCTCCCCTTGGCGGTCGGACTGCCAAGACAGTACATAACAGACTGAGATGTTGAAAGGTCCCTTCTGACCCAAAGCATTCTGTGATTCTAAAATTTTATGGTCTGTATCTTCTTTATACCTACATGACTTTCAGCTGGAAAATGCAGATTGCAACATGTGCAACTACCACAGGAAAAGCTCTTCCCTGCCTGTTAACTGTTAAGGAAAGTGCCATTCTCCAGAGCCAGCCTAGTAATAAACAATTCCTCTGGTACTACAAACACAAAGCTCAACCATTTATTTTGTCCCATGTTAACGGTCACTGAATGCAATATGGCTATAAAAATGCCGAATTATTTATTTAGTACCACATTTAGTGCAGCGCTGAATGTGGTACTAAATCCTGGGATTTTACTTAGTGATAGTTGCTGAAGTTGAATATTACAGAATGCTAAACTATGAGTAAGAGCTGGCTGATGAGAAGCAGATAAGAAAACTTCTGTCAGTGGGAAAAAAAGCAGAGAACACAGAAGTTAGAGGGGAAAAAACCAGAGACGAGACCAGAGTAGACAAAACAAAATATCTCTAAGTCTAAGGAAGACCTTTTTTCCCACACACTGTAGCACTAAGCCATTTCCAAAGCAAAGTATGTGTGAAGAGAGCACTTCACTTTGGTGGGCAGCAGGAGAGGAAAGTGGGACAAAATTCTTTATTAATAAAGGTACCATGAATCTGTAATGCTGTTACAACTTATTACTGACTTCTGAAAACTAGTTTCATGAAGATGCTAACAGTGAAATAAGACTTTTCAAAGAAATGAGACAGTGTAACTAACAGTCCATATTTATTCAGATTTCATAATAATGCTGGAAGTCTTATTGTAGACTCACCAATTTGCTTGTTCTACCTTTGTTTGTTGTTTGTTTGTTTTCTGGCCAACTCTTTGAAAACAATTTTCAAATACAATATCTTCATATGTGATGGTACTGATGCCACTGTTCAGAACTGTGGACCCTGTGACCACACAGGATAAAGTGTGCATAATTACATCCTGACAGATAGAATGCTACTGGGTGGAATGAAGTAATCTGTTTTGTTACAGTCTGATTCAAACTAAACACCCTTGATTTGGAGAGGTGGTATGTTTTTTCATTATCTGCTGCTCTACAGAAAATACTTAACAAGGATTACAAGAACAAGACTTTTATCTAATTAAATAAGTGGTGCCTGTAACTTGGAGATGTGACTTCTTTTCCAACATGTTTGTATTTGTAACAAATTTTTAATTAATCTTTTCACAAAAACTAATTAGTCTGTTTCAAGGTACCATTAAATTGACAGATTATTTTTAGAGAGATTAATTTGATTATTCTGTATTATAAATTAAAGTCAAAATCCAAAAGACTGATTACCTGCTATTCTATAAATTTGTCTTCCCTTAAATTTTAATTTGTCCACCTATCCTTATTTGACAGATTTAGCTTGATGTCCTTTTTCTTTCAGGACACTTACTTAAAGCTTCGCCCACACCCTGCCCTGCCATCCCCCCCTGCAGAACTAACTTGTGTTGTTTCTTGTGCTATTGAGTTTGACATACTTAAAAATTAGTTTGTATTATGCTTACTGATAAACAGGAGTTCTATTTAAATGAAACCAAAATTGAATTCTAGAAGTGCCTGTTGATGTCATTATAAAAAAAGTCCATAAAAACCAGTTTTTAAGTGTTAAAGAAACACACACATGTTTCTAACTTGGGTAATGCTGAATACAGTTCTTATTCAACATAACTTCTTTCCCCATTCACCACTTGCTGTATTAGCCTGTCCAGTATAGAATTAGTCTTTCCAATATAAATTGCACAGAAATTCTTCAATCAGCTGATTTTTTTTTTTTTCTTCTATGTTGTTCTTACTCTTAAATTCTTTCTTTCTATGTCTCTTGGGGAAAAAAAATTGTATTTTCTCATCTCTAGTTCCTTTTACATTTGAAATAACTGAATGTTTGCAAAGACAAAGCTTTTTTGTAGCTGTTGCAGTTTGTTTCAGGAAGGATACTCCTCTTATGCTTTCTTTGGAAAATTCAGCAATTGTTTCAATATTATTTTCTCACAATGAGTCACTTCAGAATGTGACTGTATGTAAACTGGCAATAGACAGTGTTGTTATTATTTTGATTTCCTGTACAAATATTCAACACTGTTTTGTATCTGTTCTAGTTACTTTGAAATAAATTGTAAATTGTGTTGCAACACAATAAAATCTTTCTTTTTCAAAAATATTAATTTAAAAAAAAAAATCAAACCTTCATAACTAAGGCTGAGGTGAGAAAGCCAGACTAAAGATGAAGAGAAAAACGCTCTCATGTACTGAACACTGAGTTTAGACAGCATAGATTCAGTGTACCTTTAAATATGCAGTTAAAATTCTGAAATGAGAGGAACTTTCCCAATGAAACAAAAAGTTCCATATAACAGAAGCTAGGGAGACAAAGAGGCTTGTTGGAAAGACCAAAGCACACGGTGTACATGTAGAGCGTACATTTAGAGAAGAACTGGAGAAAAGAATTCTGGGATGGTTATGACTAAAGACAACTACAACACTTTAAATATTTTTATGAATCAAACTAACAAAAATAACTCAGGTTAGGGAAAAAGTTAAGGAAAACACCTGCTGATGGATTGCGATAATGAAAAGGACGATTCTTTTCCCTGGAGTTTTGAATGGGTGATTCTTTGTAAGAACTAGAAGAAAAGCAATCACCAAAAACCAAATTCCACTGAAAGTGAGACAAGATAATTCCATTTATTAGAATTATTGAAGACCTGACAAGGATGCTGCTTTCTGGTTGAGACCTAACAAGGGCATGTACTTGAGATTTGCTGTACTAAAGGCAGAGAATCTGCACAGTGAGGCCCCTATAAAGCATAACTGGGCATAAAGCCCCCTAAAGTGTAACTGAGTAGACAGTAACTGGGTAGATAATTGCTGTCTACTCAGTTAAGCTTTACCATGAAGCTTTTTTAATTTAACCCCTTTGAGTCTAAATCAAAAGCTCTAACCTTTGTTCTGGCAAATCAGGAATGGAAAAAAAAATAGAATATCTTTTTAATGCCATATGAAAGTAGAAGTCTATATTCTTCCCTTTTATATTAAAAATAAATCACAGGTGTTTGTATTATGTTTTGGTTTGAATATTCAGAAATAGAAGGAATGTTATGCATCATTTACAGCAGAACTTTGGAGATATTGTATGTGAGTTTTACTGTCATTAGACCACCTGAGGCCTCATCTGAAGTCGAGATTGTGTCACTGATATCAGGTAAAACATTAAACAGAATTCAGCCTAACTGGTTCATACCTTTTGCTAAAATTCTTAATTTGATTCAACTTGATGTGAGCCACTACTTTCACTTTGATTCAAAATACTGTTTGGTCACTGCAAGTCCATTTTCAGTTTGTTTGTTTGTCGTCAATTTAGATGGCTTTACCTTCATTACATCAACTAGGAGAGAAAATACTGAATTGATGCTGCCTAGTCAAAGTTGGGAATTTGGCTGAACTTCTGCAGTAAATACCAGTAACCGTAGATTACTGCCGCAAAATGAAGCAGCATAAAAATTAAGCTGGTCTGTCTAATAAACATGCTGAAATCTGTTCTTTAATATCAGCAACTAATGAAGAAAAGTTGCACAGGTGGTTTTAGAAAGGGGAAACAAAAGCAGAGGTGGAAGAAAGTGGGAAAGAAAAGGAAAAGCAAGAGGAAAGAAGTGTTTTTAAAAATCTGTCAGGCTAAGAAGATTAAGAATTTAAAATTATTTGCTGTATCATTTCCATTTTTTTATAAGCTTTGCTCTCAACTATCTGATGAGAACCCATATGTATGTTGTCTTGGTTTAGGGTATTTTCCATCTGGACCCTTTCAGTTCTGGCAAATGAGATCCCATATTCCTGTTATCTGCACCAAAATTAACATGAAGATAAAAACCTTCTTTGTTAAAGTTCCCTCCTTGCTTAGTTAAGAACTTTCAATAACTTCCAAGTTATTTGCTACAAATTTTTAGTATCCTTGCCACTTACAATAAATATACTTCAGAAAGTAACACAAATTCCTCCAACTTGTAAACTTCTGCTAGCTGTAACCAGGCAGAAGTTGAGCTACTCTGGTACAAAATGTATTCATGGAATGATACAGTCAGCATGAGCTATATCTATAAACTGCAACAACCTGCGATGAGGATTATCTCCTTGCTCTTTCATCTAATTTCTGCTTGAAATCACTTCTTGATTGCAGTGCAGTGTGCAGTGCAGTGCATCTACTGTGTAATGTTCCTCACTCTGCCAGTCAACAAGGTAATGTGGCACAGGCACCTGCCCGGGTGCTCTGCTGCAGCAGAAGTCATGCCTTGTAGCATCACAACCAATGGGCAAAAGGAACATGTGCGACTAAAGAAAGGCTTAATACTTGAATAGGCCTGGAATCATTCTTATCTGCAACAAACAAAAGCTCTAGATCAGGCAAAACCTGGAATTCCCTTCAGCCAATCTGTGGTATTCCTATTTTAAGGTCTCTTAGCAGGTCTTCAATTCCTTTAGTAAAAATGTTAAGAGTTTTGGAGCCTACCATGCTGTACTACACTTTTTTTTAGTACTATCTGAACCAATCCACAAAGGGTGTTGAGAGGTTTTCCCAAGAACAGTCCAAACCAGCAAATCATCTTGTGATTCAGAATACTGTGGGAAACATCTGTTCTCATCCAAGCAAAAAAGGGCGTTTGATTCTACAGCTCAGCCACATACACGCTTTACACCAAAACAGGAAAAGACATCTTGAATTTCCTGAGAGGCAAGAATATTTTGGGAGAATGCCTTATTTGGTAATGCAATTTTAAGCTGTGTTTGAGGTTTTTTTGGTCTGAGATGTGATTTCCCGCTATGGCATGCTTACCTTAGCACTACCTTTAAAGGAGTAAATGTTTAGTATTTATTACTCTTTTGCTGGGGCCAAGTAACTTAAAAGCAACAGGTACTAAATTATTTCATTGATGTAAGTTCACAAACTATGCCAAGTTAGTTTTCTTGCTTCTTCCAACACCAAACCCTGCATCTCTCTACGGGCCATGTAACACCTCATGTCTTAGGACTGGAGCTCCAGCAAACCACAGCTTCCAGGCCAGCACCTGCACTCCCAGACGCCAGCTGGGGAACTGGTGACCTTCTGCACGGACCTCTGGAGATGATCACCCAGGCCCAGCCCTCTGCCAAGGCAGGGTCAGCTAGAGCAGGTGACACAGGAACGTGTGCATGCCTCCAGAGAGGGAGAATCCATCCATGACCTTCCTGCACAGCCTGTTCCAGTGCTCTGCCATCCTATGTGTGAAGTTCTTCCCCATGCTGAATGAAATCTCCCGTTTTTGAGTTTACGGCCATTGCTCATCCTGTCTCGGAACCACTGAAAAAAGTCTGGCACCATCCTCTTGGCATCCACCTCTGAGATATTTACATGTATTGATGAATCCCCTCTCAGGCCACTGGGCCCTCTCCAGCAGCTCCTTATCCCACTTGTACTGAGAAGCCCAGAACCAGACACGGCACTCCAAGTGTCCTCACAAGGTGATGTCCGTGGAGGCTGCAAACGGCCGAAGGGCAGGGCTGTGACATCCCAGGACTGTGACATCGCAGGGCTGTGACATCCCAGGGCTGCTCAGGAGGCGGCGGGAGGTCCCGCTGCGGCCCCGCCGCTCGGCCCGAGCCCACGCCCGCCGCGCGCACGGGCACCGCCCCTTTTTCTAGTACCTTCCCCGTTGCGCTGCGTCATCACGGCGCGCGGCGGCCGGGTCGAGCCATTTCCGGTGTCGCGGGCGCGGCGCGAGTGCTCGGCTGTAGGCGCCGGGAGCCGGGAGCCGGCGGCCAGGCCCCCGCCCTGCCCTGCCCTGCCCTGCCCTGCCCTGAATGTCGGACGGAGCCGAGGGGCCCGCGGGGGGCCCCCCTGGCTCCCCCACCCACGACTCTGCCGGTGACTCCGAGCCGCGGATCATCAAAGTCACGGTGAAGACTCCGAAGGAGAAGGAGGAGTTCGCCGTTTCCGAGACCAGCAGCATCCGGCAGGTGAGGGGCGGCGGAGCAGGCTGAGGGGGCCAGCGGGGCCGCGTTGGGCCCGGGGCCGAGCGGAGCGCCGCCCGGCAGGGGAGCGCCGGCCCGCGGCTCCCGCCTCCGGCAGCGCGGGGCGAGGGCCCTGCCCGGTGACAAAGCAGCTTTTGCTCGCCCGGGTCGCGCCAGGCGCTGTTGGGCGAGCAGCGATCCCGGCCTAGGAGAGGACTGCTGCCTTCTGAGGCTAGTAGGGATAGTGGAGAAATGTGCCGCTTCGTACCCTCCTCGCCGACTTCTCTGTTGCACTGCAGAGGGCTAGCTCGGAAGGTGGATGTAGCTCATTCGTGAAGTCATTGAGTCGTAGAATCGTTTGGGTTGGAAGGAGACATTAAAAATCTTCCAGTTCCCCTGTCGTAGGCAGGGACACCTTCAGCTAGGCCAGGTTGCTCAAAGCCCCATTCAGCCTGGCTTGGAACACTTCCAGGGATGGGCCATCCACAGCTGCTCTGGGCAGCCTGTTCCAGTGCCTCACCACCCCCACAGTAAAGAATTTTTTCGTAATTGGTAATCTAAACCTACTCTAGTTCACTTTGAAGCTATTGCCCCTTGTCCTGTCAGCACATATTCTTGCAAGCAGTCTTGCCTCATCCTTCCTGTAAGTTCCCTTCAGGTACTGGAAGGCCACAATTAGGACACCCCAGAGCCTTCTCTCATTTTCTAGGTGTGAGTTGTCCTGTTGAGCAGACTGGTTTTGGTGGTAGTTGTATCACTGGCTTGCTAACATGACTGTAGAAAACATAGGCAGTCACTTGTATCTCTCTATTTCCAGTGTTTATTTTGATCTAACACTGTCTTTAAAAACAGCGAGTCAGCCTTCAACTTTGGGAAGTCATAGCCTTGTACCGTGTTTGTAAAATCTGCAGTCTCCTGTACTTTGATGTGCTAGTTACGGATATGGTACTTAGCATATGGCGTGGTTATGTCAGATAACCAAGGTATTAGGGATTTTGTGCCTTCCTGTAAAAATCTGCACCCCAGCTGCCTCTGTCTCGAACTAGTGACACCTGCTGATTCATCGACACTGTTTCCTGCAAGTCTTCTAGTTTTGTAGAAGGTTTGCTGTGCAAGTATTGACTAAAACTTCATTTATTTAAATTAGAAAGCAACAAATCATAGAAAAGATGGTATCAAAATATAAAAACACAGTCTCTTGCTTATAAAGAATGTAGACATCGCTAGACTCAGAACTTCTTTCATTTTCCATAAGATTTCCCAGTTTTCTCCTTGAAACGGCTCTAAATGTGGCACCTTTGTGCTATTCCACATTTTTTTGTGTGTCATTGGTATTGCAGACTTCATCAAAAAAAGATTACATGTCTGAAAGCACCACTAATGTCTAGATACAGAACTTGGCATCATTCCTTAAGTGTGAGCTGAAGGACACTGTCTGGTTAATAGAAGAGGATACAAAAGATTAAGTAAAGGCTCTGAAATTTCAAAGGTAGTGCTAGGACTTCAACTAGACTGTCAGACTTTTGTTTCACCTAGTTGCTGTGAATAGAGAAAATGTTAATATTTCTTTCGATTTTTTTGTCCTTACATCTAATCTACACTCAGTTTGGTTTTGTGGGTTTTTTTTTTTCTTTTGTACATCAGTGTTTGGACTAGAAGTAGAAGTGTCCCAGACCTCCGTATCGTTGTGGTTTTCTCCAGCTGCCAATGCATTGAAGCTTTCTTGTCTTCTCTAGTCTTTTGGCAGCTGCAGTGTTGTGTGCTGTGAGCTACTCTCTCTGCAAGCTTGATCTAGGCATTTCTCCCAAAAGTAAAATGACTGTGTTTGCTTTTTAATGCTGTCCACTGCTTTCCCAGCAATCTCAGTCTGAAAGGGGTGCTTTTCATTTATCTGTTCTCCACAGATTTGTGAGCAGCATCAATGCAGTTTTTGTAAAAGTCTTTGCAGTTTTGTGGCTTTTGTTTTGTTAGGATGTTTCAAAAGGGAGATTCATAAACTGAATCTAACCTGAACATTGTGTTTGTCCTGTAAAGCAGTCAGCCATTAATTGGGTCCTTTGGAAATAATAAACAGATTTACTTTAGCTGTGAATTTTGTAATACATTTGACTTTTAACAGGTTTGTTGCAGATTTGAATACTGGTGGAGCTGCCAGGTTTTCAAATAAACAGTTGTCATAAACTGAATAGGTTGTATCCTATCAAGAGCATGAATTTTTACTGAAAGTAGTCATGCAATTTTAGGGAATTAACAGAGGACACTACGTCAGAAGTCTTTGTTGTCTGCTGATATCTTAAACTGTGAGTGTTGTCTCTCTTGGAACTGTTGTTAAAATATTAGATCTGCAGTTATAACTTAATTCTTGTGGACTAAGATTGCACTGCTGGGTTGACCAGTGGATTGAAGTCCCAGGCAGTGTAACAGCACTACAAAATGCATTGTCCCTGTAGTGTGATTAACTGGCTTTTTCTCTTAAACTGCAAAAATGAGCTGTTAATTAAGCATCAACAGTAGATGCAATGTTTCTAGAACCAACCTTGAAAATAGGTTAATCTCAAATACCAGGCAAGTTGCACATCTGTTCAAATGCATCTGTGATCAGCAAGTGGTTTGTACAGTTGAGATAGGTGGGCCAGTAACTTGTAGGCTGAAAAAAATTTAAAAAAAAAAAAAAAAAAAAAAAACAAAACAGAAAAAGAAACTGCCTCAGTGTATTTTTATAGCTAACATTAGAACTTAAAGAATTGAGTTATTTATTTCTTTATGGTCATTTCAGAATACTGCTAGAACATGAACCTAGATTTTCTAGGAATATATTTTGTGTCATCAGGGCCAAATTTAGGGGTAAAAAAAGATATATTTTATGTTGCCCCATTAATGTAAACCATGTTTGCACCTTTTCTGTCAAGATTTTTTCCTGTATTGGAAGACTTCAGTAGATTTGTTACCGTGATTCTGTGTTGTGCAGCTAGAGCAGTGAGTATGCAGGTTGGTATGGAAAATAAACTAAGTACAAAGCTACTCTGGGAGATCAGTTCATTTCAACTGCTGTCTGTCTTTTCTTCTCTGAAAATTATTTGATTGTGCTTAGCACAATTTGGCTCAGTATTATGACAAGGACCAAATATTTGCATTCTTCATAGGGTATGATCCCGGTCTTGCTCAGAGCAGAGACTTAATGAGTACATGCTGGGTAAAAGATGAATACCTATAAATTTGTTGACTTTAGCTGACCCTGACAGTGCTGATAGTCCGGCTCACCATTTGTCTCTTGTCCTGTATTTTCTTCCTTTGGTTTATTTTCTGAGTTCGTGGCAGTACAGTCTTTGCAATTTCTTGCTTAGCAGAGTTGTCTTAATGTGTTTGGTAAAGCCTGTATACAAAGAACAAGCGTGCTCATTTTAGGAGCAACTCATGTCTTAGTGGATGACTTGGATTGTTTGAGTATTGAGATGTTGTAAGCAGTTATATGGAAAAACAGTTTTTTTACCTTCATCATTTAGAATGAGGGAGTTTTAGAAGAGTTAAAGCTTGCTGATGCCTCTTGATGCTGTTTTAGTGCCCTGTGTTGACATTTACTGTATTCATGAGTTTTTTATAACTGGTCCAGAATTACTGTCTGCATGTGTGTAGCACACCAAAAGATACTGAGTTGTCCATTCTGTGAGCGTTACAACTCTGAGACAGAGTAACATGTCTAGCTGTGTGTTATTAATTGCTGAGCCAACAAACAGTGGATACAGTAAATCTGTGCTAATAATTTTGAAAACTTAAAATTCTTACAGAGAATGATTGCCAGTCCTTTGATTGTATGAAAATTTCAGAGCAATGTCCATCAGGAGGAATTAGTGAAATTGAATTTAGCTCCACAGAAAACAGATTAGATCCTTTTGCAGGTTTAGGGTTTTTCCCCCCCACTTTTTATTTAGCTTCAACCTTTAAATGAATATCTCTTCAGTGTGGAATCCAGTTTTCAGTAACAACATATTTAACAGTTTCTAGTGTGTTTTTTAAAGTAGGTGGACACAAATGTGCTTTCTGCACTAGACTAAACTACAGATAAAATCCCTGAGTTACTTAATTTTACGGTACATGTATCCATTGTGTTGAGACTACTGATTTTTGTCAAGTGTTTTGATTTTTTAAATTGAAATTACAGTACTGTTTATGGTTGAAACTTTAAATCCATAAATTTCATTTTTGTGCCTGGATCTCATAATCCCAAATTGGTAGTCTTCTGCTTTATAAAGATCATACAGGTGTAAATGTTAAATTGTTAAAGCTTTGGGTAGAAATTGTTAAAGCTTTTGTATTAGAACATCTTTCCTGGCTTGCATTGCTTTTAGTATTTTATGTAATGTTTTACCTTTTTAAGAAACTGTACTTTATAGGAACAGTTCTTTTAACATGATCCAATTCTGTTTCACTGTTTTTCTGTAATCCAGGGATTACTGAATGCTACAAACAAAATTGGTTGAAAGTATATAATGGAATCCAGTCTGTTCTTTGTTTCCAGGATTGTGATTCAGGTTTCTGTTGTTTCTCATGTGTCTCAAGGCAGTTGAATACTCGAAGCATTTAGTGTTAGGTTTTCCATTGTCTGGTGTGTCAGTGCATTGTAACACATCTGTGTGATTCTTTATGGAGTCTGCGTCATTATATACTCTGATTATACTTATTTCTTAACCTGGGTTTTTTCCCCCTCATTTTGTGATATCAAAATTGCTTTAGAGCAATGGCAGGTGATTATTTGATAGAAGAACCCTTCAGAAGTAAAAGTATATTGACTTTTATTGGCTTAGTTAGATGTAACTCAAAGGTGTTGGTGGCCATAGTACTCAACAGGTGTTTTCTGATAAATGACTGGCAGACAGAGTAAAATAAGAAAAACCTATTTTAAAATAGTTTTTAAATAGTAGTGTGAAGTGTCTTTTGTGTAGATACTTTTCTGCATAAAAGTAAGACATTCATATTAATATTTTTAATTATTTTTAAAAAATGTTATC